ATATACACATCACTTTGATTTCTTTATTTCCCAAATCTAGCTTTTCCTCATTTTTTTTCGTTCTATAGTAAAATATATTTTATTGAATAAGTTATCCGTTTGTCTCACCAATTTAAATTTGTTACCGTACATAATTTTTTCATTAGATATTTGAAATTTTTATTTAATTTTTTTATTTAAACACATGAGCTAAACGGATAAATTATCAGATGAAAGTTTTTATTACGTTCAAAATCGAGATTTTTTAAGAGAGAAATTATCATGAAGTAGATGAAGTACATAAAAGTAGTTATGGGGTGGCAATATTTCATTGGCACGATAAAGATAACGACTGTAGACGTTGCATATAACCACCGCATATTGCTATAGAGTATACACTATAACTATATATATATATATATATTGGTGGAAGGGCATATATTGTATATGATCTAGCGAGAAGTGGCTACTGATTTCTAGCCAGAAAGAAGGTGGGAGCAAGATGTGTCTGATTTCAATGACAATGAAATGTGCTAACAACTACAGATTTATAGTGCGCTTTTCTTTCCACCATGAATATACTGTAGATAATGCGATACACACACACACACATATATTCCATATATGAATACCAAATGTCAAATCTTACCTACCCATTCAGCAACAAGAAAAAGAAAAAAAAAATCCTTACCTACCCAAAGTAACGTGAATGACAAATACATAATAAAATATGGAGCTTTGTTACCTAAATAACAAATAAATAAATAAATAATATGGAGCTTATAAGAGTAAAATATCTATATATGCTAATATTCTATGTTTTTAGCGTTACATCTCATCAAAAGCATGTTTTTATTTACAATACGGTATATTTATATGAGCTCCAAAACAAGAATCCTAGTTTTTTTTTTTTTTTTTTTCATAACATGCCATAGAATTCCCAAGAGAATATATACACAAATTTTGTTATCTTTATTATTATTTTTTTCAAACTATGAAATGAGGCTTCCAACGTCACCTAATATTGTTCTACCAAATAATAGCTACAAATAATTAAAAAAAGAAACCAACAAAGCACAAACAAAAGCCTCAGCTTGAGGTCTATATAAATTTACTATGTTAAATTTGCAATCATCATATCTCATAATCCTTTAAGAAGTAATATCACTAATTGTTTCAGCCAAAACATTGAAATATATATTAATTACCTATATAACATTTAAGTCATGGACGGACTATTCATTTCTATAAAGATGAAACCCCACAACTCACACAAAGTAAGTAACACTCGTCTGTTGAGATTCAATTTAGTGGGACTCGTCATTATATGAGTAACGGAAATTTATTGCACGGTATGATTCCTGACTTTTAGGGCGGGATGTTTGTTTTTTATATTCGTTTCTGATTCTGAATCATAATTCATGATTCTTTACAGTGTTTTTCTCTTACAAAAAACACACGTAAAACGAGAATAATTCTAAAATTATGAACCAAACGTCACGTACGGAAATTTATTGCATGGTATGATTCCTGACTTTTAGGATTTCTTAATGATCCTGAGGCTACGAAGGATACTATAGACGAAGAAGGATGGTTACATACAGGCGATATAGGGTACGTTGATGATGATGACGAGCTCTTCATTGTTGACCGATTAAAGGAGCTAATCAAGTTCAAGGGCTTCCAAGTGGCCCCCGCTGAGCTCGAAGCCTTACTCATTGCCCACCCTGGTATTTCTGATGCTGCTGTTGTACCGTAAGTGCATCATTACTCGATCATATTATTAGTATGTAATTGTGCGAATTTTGCCTCAATAATTTATTCCCTCAAAACTTTTCGGTTTTTGACAACTTGTTACTAAATTTCTAATTTAATAATTTATCTTCTGAACTTTTGTATTGTTCTGATGTGTCCTATTTTACTTAACTTTCTGTTTAATTAGTGGCGAAAAGTCCACTTAAGCCGCGCCTCATGTTAGGGTGGAAAATCTCATGTCCGGCAAAAGCCCTTATGTAAAGCTTCCAAATTTAGACCCTCAATTTATTGGGAAGTTAACAAAATAGGGTACATTGTATTAATATTTTAAAAAGTCTTGTGGGGCAAAGTTACTAAAAGTCAAAATGTTTTTTACTATTTATTTACTCGATTAGTTATGCGCCTCGTAAGTTTCCACTTATTGAAATTTAATACACGTTTTATCCCCTTAAGCATTTCAATCGAATCTACCAGTGGTTTCAATCTATGATTGGAGTTGAGTCGCTATTTGCATTGAGGTCTTTCACGTCTGATTTCGTGTTTGTATCTTTCTGATTTAGAATGCAATTTCTCCTTTAAAAAAAAAAAAGAAAAAGCTTTTTACTCTTGTTAATATGCCAATGAAATTAGAAACCCTTAATTAAAACATTAGTTCACTTAGAGTTTCGGAAAACATAATTATGCCTCTTTTTCTAGTTCAATTATAAAGTCTCAATTTAAAATAAAATAAAAAGAATCTAAGAATTTCGGTATATCTTTCCCAGTATGAAGAATGAAGCTGCAGGAGAGGTTCCTGTTGCGTTTGTAGTGAAATCAGGTGCTTCAGATATTAACGAAGAGGACATCAAGCAATATATCTCAAAACAGGTAAAGCTTTTAGATACATTTTGAATATTTTTTTATGAGATTTTTACGGTGGATTTGAAAATATAAACTATCTGTAAATCTTTTTTTTTTTCCATCCGGTCGAAATTTATTAAAAATAGTATGTTTTACATACTTTTTTGTTTTAATATAATTTTGATTAAATTAAACGATTAAAAATATATATGCTGCCTATACGAGGTCTTACTATAGAAAAACTTTATAATTTACTTCTTACAGCATGAGAGGAAAATTTTTACCTCATAAGCAATAGTGCGTAAATAGATTTCTGATTATAATATATATATATATATATATATATACATATTAACTAATGTTGCTTGTTTTCTTCAGGTTGTGTTTTACAAAAGAATAAATCGGGTTTTCTTCACAGGGAAAATCGCAAAGTCCCCTTCAGGCAAAATCTTGAGGAAAGACTTGAGAGACAGGCTTGCCGTAGGACTACCTAACTAGGCCTTTCTCAATGGCATGCATTTGGGGTATTTACATAAATGGCCAAATTGAGAAAATTATGTAGATATGTATTTATGTAATGTCTGGTTTGTATATGTTTTACATTCTATTGGTGATTAAATCTTTGTAAAGTTCTTTTTAAATAATTATCGATTTATCACAAGGACCTCTTACTGTAGATTCCTGAAAAAAAAAATCTTACTGTAGAAATTATTATTTTACCTTACCGGTAGAAATTGTCATTTTAACTGTCATATTAGTTTTTCAATTGTCCGATTTGTGAGTGTCAACATTAAAAATTTTATCTTACCCGTAGAAAATCTCATTTTAACTGTCAAATTAGTTTTTTAATTGTCCAATTTATGAGTGTTAACATTAAAAATTTACAGTTCACGACACAAAATTACTTTTACTCATAAATCAGACCGAAAAACTAATCTTTAACATCTTTGTTTGAGTGGTGCAACCAATATGGTCACACTCCGATAAAGATAGAAGAAGAAGATGACGATTATATTGTCGTCTGTCCCTTGATCTCTTACTGCACGTATATTAATTTGTTGCTACCGCAAGATAAAAGCAATGCAATATTTCAACAAAAATAATAATAATAAATAGTAGCCTTGCACTAAAGCATGCACAATCTGATCAATATATGTCGATGTCTCTCATGAAAAATTATTCAATAATAGAAGTTAGTGTATCACGTCATATACTTATGCAGTGCATCTCTCTACGTATATTAGGTTATTGTAATTACGTTTCTCAATCCTAATATGTATTACATTAAGGGCATGTTTACTTATCAGGGAATGAGAATTGAGATTCGGAATCAATTATATATTTACTTACCCATTTATATCCTGGAATGAGAGTGAGAATGTGTGGGCCCCACACTAATTTGGGATTGAGAAATGGGATTAGCACTCCCCTCACCCCCTACCGGATTGCCACTCCCAATCCTGATATTAAATGCAAAATTACGAATTTACCCTTAATTTTTCTCCTTTATTTAACTCTCTAGGGTTTATTTCCCCCTTTCTCTCTCAGCCATTTACCATCCCCTTTTCCCCTCTTCTGCCGTGGTTCTTCAATTTACAGGTAAGCCATAAATCATACTCTATTTTTGTTTTCGTTTTGTTTTTTTTTTTTTGTTTTTTTTTTTTTTTGTGTTGAACACGTTGATAATACTTTAGTTTAGCTAGTTTTGTTGTTCCTTTCCACGTTGATAATGCTTCTAGCTTTTCAATTTTTTTCCCTTATTTTAATTTAATTTTTTATTCCTCTTTATTTCTTTAAACTCTTATATTTGTTTTATTTTAGGAATTTCTACTGTAAGATTAGAAAACTGAAACTATCAATAATTTTTATCCCTCTTTATTTCTCATGATTCTATTACTCTAGGTTTTTTTTTTTCTTTTTTTCTTATAATTTGATTCTTGTATTATGCCTATTGTTGTTCATTTTTATAATATACAATGTGATTCTAAATCTAATTTTATATGTTAATAATATAGAGTAATCATTTTTATAATATACAATGTGATTCTAAATCTAAGCTTCCTCATGCCAAGCTTGGGCAGGTAAGAATAAGAAATTATTATTATTATTATTTTTGTTATGGTAGTTTTTTTCTTTTCTTTTCTCTTTTTTTTTTTTTTTTTTTTTTTTTTTTTTTTTTTTTGATTCATTTTGTTGTTGTGGTTGTTGTTACGTCGTGTTCTGTTCGGACGTTCTACGTTAACGACAATCCATGTTTTCAAAATTGTCTTTAATTGTAAGACCCACCAAAGAAGTCCTATGATGATCGTATCCTTTTTGTCATTAACACATACTTCAACAGAAATTGGAAGTTTGTTGAAATAACAATCTTCCAAAGTGAAATTAATCATTTTTTTTTATTATTATTATTGTTTTTCGCCCACTTGGGATCGTTCAGTGTAAATTTTGAAGTCTTTATGTTAATTAGTGATAACACTGATTGAAAATTAGTTTTTTAATTGTCTAATTAGTTTTAACTGTCAAATTAGTTTTTTAATTGTCCAATTTGTGAGTGTCAACATTAAAAATTTACGGTTCACGACACAAAATTACTTTTACTCATAAATTAGACCGTTGAAAAACTAATCTTAACATCTTTGTTTGAGTGGTGCAACCAATATGGTCACACTCGGATAAAGATAGAAGAAGAAGATGGCGATTATACTGTCGTCTGTCCCTTGATCTCTTACTGCTCGTATATTAATTTGTTGCTACCGCAAGATAAAAGCAATGCAATATTTCAACAAACATAATAATAATAAATAATAGCCTTGCACTAAAGCATGCACAATCTGATCAATATCTGTCGATGTCTCTCATGAAAAATTATTCAATAATAGAAGTTAGTGTATCACGTCATTATACTTATGCAGTGCATCTCTCTACGTATATTAGGTTATTGTAATTACGTTTCTCAATCCTAATATGTATTACATTAAGGGTATGTTTACTTATCAGGAGTAGGAAATGAGAATTGAAATTCGGAATCAACTCTGATTACTTTTTAGTAACTGAAGCTAAAATTGTTAGGCCATCTGTATTGCAAGCAACAAATAATCTGATAGATTATCATAAATAATCTACCAAATTATTTTTGACGTTCAAAGCCTATTGCGAGATGTCTAGCCCACACAATCTTCAGTTAACGCTCTCTTTCTTCTCCACCAAAGCTTCATTCAACCTACAACGAAGCAACCTCTTGCCTCAATATCTTCTAGGCGTGTGTGACCTCCGGTGAAGTAAGAAACCTCCCTCGTGCTCGGCGGGGCTAACACGTAACTATGTCGTTAGCATTTGTGCCGCCATGAGTTCGACTTGTCACCATGACATCGACGTTTACATCACCAATGTTTAGAGTTTGAGCCCGTTTAGTTCGCTGATTCGAGTTTTTAATTCGAGTTGAGATGTGATTTTATGTGAGAACTTTTTACTGCAGTAAAAAAATTAAATGTGACTATTTTTTAGAATTTTTTACTGTAACAAAACTCGAATCGCTGAAATAAACGGGGCTTTTATAGTCCCTCATTGAATTAGTCACATTACCATTATTTGGTTTAAGGTACACTCACTTCTTAAAGACTATTAGTACTAGTCATCTAGCTCAATTAATCGAACAAAGACATCAATCCAATTAAGACCACTCATCCAAGAATGATTCCATCAGATTTGACCTTAGTCCGAGAAGAATGTGGGCTCCGTGAGCCCAATATATCACGGCCCACTTATTGTTTTTTGTGATACTGAGCTAATAGAGCCCCCAACTTTTCTGTTCATTGAATGTCGAACAAAGAGTGACTAAGTACTGATAATGGTCACATAATTTAATAATATTGTCACTTTTCTCATCGCTATAACTATGGTAAGCGTAAAGATAATTAAAAAGTCCATGCATAAATCGTGATTACTCCAAATACAAGTGCAACGAAACGCATAAAATAGGAGTAAATTAGGCTTATTGACTTGTTTTAGTTATTAGTAAATGTAGGAATGATTTCCTGAAGTTACATCATAATTATGGTGGATGTCCTTAGAGATTAATAATCGATATATATATATGTGTGTGTATATATGGAGCGAGCTCTAGATATTACAAGAAATTATGGACTTGTTCTTTTGAGTGAAAAACTAAAAAAAAAAGTAACTTGAGTTACAATTTTATTTGAGTTCATGTTCTTTTAAGTTTAAACTCGAGTTTGAACTCGAGTTCAAACTCGAGTTTAGGACTAAAACTCGAGTTCAAGTTTCCCCTTTAACTCGAGTTCAGAAACTCGAACTCAAATTAATGAACATTATTTTTTCTATTCTTAAAAATGCTATAACTTTTTCGTTTTAATTATGATTGAGATGATTTTTTTTTCTATGCGTTGACAACGAAAAGACGAATAAAACCCGACTCATATACCCTATTAAAATTTTTCATCAGCATTGAGTTTTTATTACAATATTATCTAAATACAAATTCAAGTTTTAACTCACTCAAACACAAACTCAAAAAGATTCTTATCTCAAATCATAACTCAAATGTATACAACCAAACACAAACTCAAGTTACAAGTTAAACTCAAGTTATAACTCAAATTTAACTCAAGAATTATACTCAAGTTAAACTCTAAAAAAACAAGCTGTATACTTTTCAGCCCCATTTAATGTGACAGTTTTAATCTTAAAATTAGCAGTTGAGTCCCCAAATTCAAACCTCATATGTGCAACTATTTTCCACTATTTCGCTTCAGGCCTATTTAAGCTGGATTGGGCTTTTATATTTTGAAAGACAGGTAGGTAAGGAGTTGTATTCTCACTTCTCAAATGTGAAAAAAATAAATAAATAAATACAAAGGGACAAAAACAAAAAAACAAACAAAAACAAAGTACTAGATTTGGAACATAATCACTGTCTTATCCTGTAAAACCTTTCAAACTCGAGTAGACTTCGGTGATAAGGAAGTTAGGATAGTAATCATAAGAACAATCGTTAATGTAAATCCAATAATCCGCTTGTTTAGGTGGAGGATGTCAATAGAGCGGGGTGTGACGGGCATGCTTCTCCCGCTCTCATTCTATTTCTGTTTTGTTTCTCGTACTCACTTCTATATCCACTTAATTTAAAGTGGGATCGAGATTAGGAGATGTTTGGTTCATGAATTAGAATCATGTGATTAAAATTATTTTCGATTTACTTAAATTTTTTGTGAGAGACAACATTGTAGTAAACTATGAACTATGATTCAAATCATAGTTTGAATCCTCCAACCAAACATCATTAGAATTCTCATAAGAGAAACTATCCTCATACCTTAGTTATTTATCCATTAAATTTTTTTGAAAATACTTAGTAATATAATCAAACCTTAAAAGAAAATTTCATCCAATTAATTAGAAGTTCAAGAACATAACTATTAATCCTTTACCTATATACTAATAATGAATAAGTTTGACACATCAGTTTCGCATTCAATGAGCTTTTTTTCCTTCTCTTGCTTCCCTTTCTTTTCCTTTTTTTTTTCTCT